TTTGTTCACTAATGTATTTTACCAATCCTCTGAGGTTTTCACAGAAAAGCTGTATTTATAGTGAGATTAAATTACACACAAATGCACTCGATTTACTAATTAGGTGACTTCCGAAGGCAATTGGTTCCACTAGATTTTAGTTAGAGATATCATAGTAAAGGGGGCTGAATACAAATTGCTGTTCACAGACACTCTTCATGCAATCTGACAGAGTTTTAACTATTTTGCAAAGAATGGGCACAAATTTCACTCTCTAGATGTGCAAACCTGGTAGCTGTCAGGGACCGCCGCGGCTCCGTCCCCGGCGCAAGCACATTAGCGGTGGCTCACGCCGGGACACGAGCACCAGGTCCCGGCGGGCCGCGGCTGACAGGAGGCCGCGCATGCGCAGTAGAAGCCGTGGGCGCGCCTCGGGCGGCCAATGACAGCCCGGGGGCACGTCCTGGGCGGCCAATGACAGTGCAGGGCGCGATATTTAAAGATGCCCTGCACTGTCACAAATCGCCGCAAGGTCTGATCTGTTACCTGTGCCCTGTGATTAAAGACCCGGATTGTTTGACCCTCTGCCTGCTCCAGTCCTGACCCGGATTACCTGACTACGCTGCCTTCTCCTGTGTTTGACCCGGATTACCTGACTACGCTGCCTTCTCCTGTGTTTGACCCGGATTGTCCCTGACTACGCTGCCTTCTCCTATCCCGTCCCCCGGCTTGTTTGACCATTCTGCGGACTGACTCCGGTACTGACCCTGCGTGTGACCTGACCACTCTCTGCCTGCCGTCTCTGTACCTCGCCATTCCCCACGGTGACAACCGCCGGTTTATCCTGCCTGGTCCTGCCAGCCTCCTCACATCTGGCTCTATTCTGTCTCACTCACATCCCCGGAGGCTCCCTCTGCCACTGGTGGTATTGCTCGGAGGTCGTGACCTGGTCCTGGTTCTGCTCCAAGTTCATCCCCACCATCAGGCGCCCTGGTGAAAACGCAGACCGGGACTTAGACTCCACGCTCCGGGTGATTCCGCCTAGTGGGCTGCCAGAGGTACCACCTGGCGGATCTGTAACAGTAGCGACATAGCCAAAAAGACTTGCAGCTGTAATTGCAGCAAAAGATGGTTCTACAAAGTATTGACTCAGGGGGGCTGAATACAAATGCACGCCACACTTTTTAGATATTTATTTGAAGAAAAAATTGAAAACCATTGATCATTTTCCTTCCACTTTGCAATTATGTGTCACTTTGTATTGGTCTATCACATAAAATCCCAATAAAATATATTTACAATTTTGGTTGTAACATGACAAAATGTGGAAAATTTCAAGGGGTATGACTACTTTTTCAAGGCACTGTATATAGATATTGGCCATCAAAATGGCCACCATATGCATGACGTCATCACGCATGTGTGTCATCATGTCTATGACATCATGAAGTCTACGATGTTCGCACATGTCAGTCCATGGGATGCCATCTTGAGGATGAAAAACAAAATAGCAATGATCCAAAAGGCCACTGATATCACTTCACTATTCAGAAATATTTTCAATGCCTTCAAACTAGATCATGCTACTACAAAACAAATCCGTCCATACTAGTATATCAACTATGAGGTAAATTCAAACAATGTCTAAAGCCCTTAATCACACACAAACAGAAGAAAGGTAAAGCCTTCATTAAGATCCATTTCACCTCAGGTTTAAACAGACATTTATCTAGGTCTCCTTTTCTAGGACCCAGATTACATTTTTCTATACTCCAGAAACGTAGGAGGTCTGCTTCTCCACCGTGTTTTTGCACAGCATGCCTAGCCACCGGTCTGTCCTTATTATGGGCTATGCCATTTACATGTTCCAGGACCCGTCTCATAAGTGGATGGATCAATTTTCCTACACATAATAACTGGCAAAGGCATCTTATGGCATATACCACCCCCCTCCAATTATAGAAATCTCTTCTTTCTACAACTTCCCCATTCTCGGGATTTTCAAATTACTTAATATTACAAAGGTGCATGCCTTACAATGTCCACATTTAAAACTACCCTTGTTTTTTTTTTCTGGTAGCCAGGTATGTCCTACCGGTACCTAAGATGTCTTATTCAAATGGCTATGTACTAGCATGTCCCTCAGGTTCTTGCCATGTTTATAAGTTATCATTGGATCTTTAGACAGAATCTAGGAAAAAGATGTGTCTTCAGGTAAAACTTTCCAATACCTTTTTATGACATTAGAAATCTGACCCAGTTGATTTTGAATATGTACCTATAATTCATATACCTAGCTGGTCATCAGTCTTCTTAATTTTTTGTCCCAATAGGGACTCCCTTGAAACAGCATTTACCGTCGCATACGATTTTCATAAACCAGCCATATGATAGCCCCATCTCCTAAATCTGTCTACCAGCTTCTGACTTTCAATTTGAAATTTGGAATGCCCCCTCTGTCGAACAATTCCTCTTAGCGCTCATAGTTACATAGTTAGTCTGGCTGAAAAAAGACAAAAGTCCATCTAGTTCAACCATTAAAAAAAAAGTTATGATCCTATACCCACAGTTGATCCAGAGGAAGGCAAAAAAAACCCAGCAAAGTATGATCCAATTTGCTCCTGCAGGGAAAAAAATTCCTTCCTGATCCCCCGAGAGGCAATCGGATATTCCCTGGATCAACTTTACCTATAAATGTTAGTATCCAGTTATATTCTGTGTATCTGAGAAAGAATCCAGGCCTTTTTTAAAGCAATCCACTGAGTTGGCCAGAACCAACTCTTGAGGGAGTCTATTCCACATTTTCACAGCTCTTACTGTGAAGAAACCTTTCCATGTTTGGAGATTAAATTTATTTTCCTCCAGACGTAAAGAGTGCCCCCTTGTCCTCTGTGGTGACCTCAGGGTGAATAGCTCTACACCGAGTTCACTATATGAACACTGATGTATTTATACATGTTGATCATATCCCCCCTCAATCTCCTCTTCTCAAGAGAGAATACATTCAGTTCTTCTAATCTTTCCTCAAAGCTGAGCTTTTCCATGCCTCTTATCAGTTTGGTTGCCCTTCTCTGTACTTTCTCCAGTTCCCCAATGTTATTTTTGTGAATTGGTGTCCAAAATTGAACTGCATATTCCAGATGAGGTGTAACTAATGATTTGTACAGGGGTAATATGACATTTCTCTCTCTCTCTGGAGTCTATACCTCTTTTATTACAAGAGAGGCTTTTGCTCACGTTATAAACCACAGCTTGGCATTGCATGCCATTATTAAGCTTGTGATTTACCAGAACTCCCAGATTCTTCTCCACCATTGATTCCCCCAGTTGTACCCCCCTAGTATGTATGATGCATGCATATTCTTAGCCCCGAAAGTGCATAACATTACATTTATCAACATTAAACCTCATTTGCCACATAGTTGCTCAATTAAACAGTGCATTGAGGTCGGTTTGTAAGTTGAAGACATCCTGTAAGGACGTTAATCCACTGCACAGCTTGGTGTCATCTGCAAAGACTGAAATTAGATTTTTAATCCCAGACTCTACATCGTTTATAAATATATTAAAAAGTAAGGGTCCTAACACTGAACCTAGGGGTACACCACTGACAACCACAGACCATTCAGAGTATGAATCATTAACCACTACTCTCTAAATATGATTTTTTAGCCAGTTTTCTATCCATTTACATACCGATTTTTCCAAGCCCGTAGACTTTACCTTACGCATTAGTCGTGTGTGGGGAACTGTGTCAAACGCTTTGCAAAATCCAAGTATACCACGTCCACCGCCACCTCTCTGTCCAAGCGTTTGCTCACCCCCTCATAAAAAGAAATCAGATTTTTTTGACAACTTCTGTCTTTCATGAATCCATGCTGTCTGTTGCTTAAAATATTTTTTCCAGTAATAACTCATCTATGTGGTCTTTTATTAAACACTCCAGTATCTCCCAACTATAGAAGTTAAACTAACAGGTCTATAATTACTTGGTAAAGATATTGACCCTTTTTTTAAATACTGGCACCACACTGGCCTTACCCCAATCCAGTGGTACTATGCCAGTCATTAACAAGTCCCTAAAAATTAATTGTCTAGTAGGGATCCCTCTTTTCAACGACACTGGGTGCTGGCTACTCCAATGTAAGAAGCTGTTGGTAGAGATCGGTTTACGATAAATTGTTGTATTTATGTTTTCACCTTCTCCTCTCGTAATCTCCAGATCCAGGAAATTGATGCTATTATATTTGATTACACTTGTAAAATACATGCCAATGTTGTTATGATTTAGGACAGTTACAAATTCACTGAATGGATCTTTTTGACCCTGCCATAGGATAAACACATCATCAATAAAACGTACTCACATTAGAATATGTGATGTAAAACATTCCAATTCTGAGAATGGTTTGTGTATAAGATTTAAGGCTTGGTATTTTAAATTAAATTAATTGTTGTGTTTGTTGTTGGGACCTTTAGCCTAGGTTAGATAGGTGTATAAATGGTTGGCTTTCTCAAAAAGGAGATTGACTTTGATTCACTTTCCCTGGAAGCCAGTGAGGTGTTCTTTAACCGCTAGCCTACAGGGCACTTATACCCCCTTCCTGCCCAGGCCAATTTCCAGATTTCAGCACTGTCACATTTTGAATGACAATTGCGCGGTCATGCAACACTTTACCCATATGAAATTTTTATCATTTTTTTTGTGACAGATAGAGCTTTATTTTGGTGGTATTTAATCACTTCTGGGTTATTTTTTCTTAAACAAACCAAAAACCACTGAAAATTTTGGAAAAAAGTTTTTTCTTAGTTTTGTGTTATAAAATTTTGTAAATAAGTGATTTTTCTCCTTCACTGATATGCGATAATGAGGCTGCAGTGATGGGCACTGATAGGCTGCACTGATGGGCACTGATGAGGAGGCACTGATGGGCATTGATAGGCATCACTGATGGGCACTGAAAGGCAGCACTGATACATGGCACTGATATATGGCACTGATAGGCAGAACTGATAGGCAGCACTGATAGGCGGCACTGACTGGCATTGATAGGTGGCACTGACTGGCACGGATATGCAGCACTGATTGGCAGCACTGATAGGTGGCACTGACTGGCACTGATGGGTGGCACTGAAAGGCAGCTCAGATGGGCACTGATATGTGGCATTGATGGGCACTGGCACGAGGCACTGATGAGCACTGACACAAGGCACTGATGGATACTGACAGGTGGCACTGCTGGGGCTACACTGATCATCAGGGCACACTGATCATCAGTGCCCTGATGATCAGTGCACATGTCCCCTCCGCGGAAAGCCGATGAATGGCTCTCCTCTCGAGCTGTCAGCATGACAGCTCGAGAGGAGAGAAATGCCAATAAACGGCATTTCCCTGTTTACATGTGATCAGCTGTGATTGGACACAGCTGATCACATGACCGAGCCGACATCTTCGGCTCTTTCCATGATTGGTGGTCTGCTGTGTCCGAGGGACACAGCGTACCGCTAATTGCCGCGCACTCCCTGAGCCATGCATGCGCGGTGAGAATGGGAGGACGTCATATGACGTCCTCCCAGAACGAGAGAACCACCTTGTGTCCATCATATTACTATATGGCAGGCGGGAAGTGGTTAATGAAAAACCCACTACATGCAAAGAAACAAACATACATGAGGCATTCAGATTTATATCCAGAGTCTACAAGAAACATACAAGGTGTTGGTGGCCAGCCTTGAGATGTACATCAAAAAGAAGATCATAGTAAGGGGCCTAAGAATTATGTTCTAACAACACTCCCATACATATAATGTTGAATTTATGCAGAGTTGGAATAACCTTCAGACAGAAAATACTTTAAGAATGATGCGATACTTCCTTGATTTTGGAAAAAACTCAGTTTACTGAGTTAAATATACAACTGAAGGAGGGGAAAAAGCAATATTCTCAAATTTAAAGATCACTCTGATTCTAAGAGATTGGAAAGGAAAGATTGCAGAAACAAGTAGAGGTACATAAAGAAACTATAAAAAGTACAAAATATAGGAAATTTATCAGAGACTCAGAAGATTTTGCTAATGGGGGAGAGACTATACTTGGACTCATAAACACTGCGACTTCCCCAAAGATGGTTTCAAGGCCTGACTCAGATACATCTAAAGATTCAAGTAGTTCAGAAACAGATGATGGAAATGAAAGACAGAGTGATTCAAGTGACAGTAGAAGAGAACCCAAATACACCTCTAGAAGGGGTTGGGGGAGGAGAGGCCTCTTTAGACAACCTAGGGGTAATCAAGGGAATTTTTTTTAGGTTTTCCCACCCAGCATTTGAGAAATTGGGAGGAATGGGGCTACACTGACACCAAGAGAGGGAAAAATGATGGGACCCGTAGATAGGACCACCACTCAAGAGAATGATTTGCAAATCTTTAATCTTTCCCAGATGTCGTTGACAGATCACCATACAGCAGTATTAAAGAGGGGACTGTCCTTTGCGCCCACACGGGACTTTAACCTTTTTGAGTGGGTTAAAGACATCAATTTCTTTAGTACTGCTATATGGTCATTTATCAACGACAGGTCACATGATCACATGACATTGAAATCTCCTAAGGGCGATTAATTTCCTCAATGTATTTTGGTTGACAATATACTGAGTTACATAGTTAGTCTGGCTGAAAAAGACAAAAGTCCATCTAGTTCAACCATTAAAAAAAAAAGTTATAATCCTACACCCACAGTTGATCCAGAGGAAGGCAAAAAAACCCAGCAAAGTATAATCCAATTTGCTCCTGCCGGGGAAAAATTCCTTCCTGATCCCCCGAGAGGATCGGATATTCCCTGAATCAATTTTACCTATAAATGTTAGTATCCAGTTATATTATGTGTATTTAGGAAAGAATCCATGCCTTTTTTTCAAGCAAACTACTGAGCTGGCCAGAACCAACTCTTGAGGGAGTCTATTCCACATTTTCACAGCTCTTACTGTGAAGAAACCTTTCGGTATTTGAATATTAAATCTCTTTTCCTTCAGATGTAGAGTGCCCCCTTGTCCTTTGTGATGACCTCAGTGTGAATAACTCTACACCAAGTTCACTATATGAACCACTGATGTATTTATACATGTTGATCAATATCCCTCAGCGTTCCGGGTGGACGCCATATGCGCAGTTTGCGTGCTTGCAGAGCCACGCAGCGGCGCGATCTGTCACCGGCCGTGTACCTCGGACATGGCCGATGACAGATCTGAGTACCGACCCCGTTGCCAGTACCATGTGATCACCACCATGCCAGTTATATTATGACGCTGTACTGCACTGGTGACAGTATGTAAAAAAAAATAGTGAACTTTTTTTTTTAATTTTTTCATTTTCCGAAAAATTATGACAAAAAAAAAAAAATACAACTTCAAAAAACTCGCCATGCCTCTTATGAAGTAAGTCGGACGGTCTACTTTGCAAAAAGGGTCATTTGGAGGATATCTGTACTGTTCTGACATTCTTTGACCTCAAGAAATTAGATTGGCTGTCAGAACTTCAGCATTGATCAATATTCAGATCTATACCATGGTTTGTGAACTCTATTAATTTCCTACAAACTAAAAAATACATCCTAATTTGGGTTATTCTCACCAAAGACATGTAGCAGAATACATCTTGGCCTAAATTTATGAATAACAATTATTTATTTGCAAACTTTTATAACAGAAACAAAGAAAAATGTTTTTTTTTTTTCCAACTTTTCGGTCTTTTTTTGTTAATTTAGCAAAATATAAAAATCCCAGTGGTGATTAAATATCACCAAAAGAAAGCTCTAGTTGTGTGAAGAAAATGATAAAATTTTAGTTTGGGTCCAATGTTGTATGACCGCACAATTGTCATTCAAAGTGTGAGAGCGCTGAAACCTGAAAAATGGCATGGGTAGGAAGGGGGTAAAAGTGCCCGGTATGGAAGAGGTTAATAAACTCTCCACTATCTTCCCAACTATAGAAGTTAAAGCGGAGTTCCACTCGACCTATAAAAAAAAAAGTCAGCAGCTACAAAAACTGTAGCTGCTGACTTTCAAAAAAACAGCCACTTATCTGTCCCTCGGTCCAGTGGTGTGTCCCTTGCAGCTCGTTTCACCGGCCATCCTGGATTCCAAGAGGCCGGCATCTTTAGTATGGGCACCCGGTTGTGATCGCGTGCAGCTTCACAGCCGGGTACCCACTGCGCATGCGCACGTAGCACTGCGCTTCGTGAATGGTCCTGTAGTCTCCTGGGCTATAATTACTTGGTAAAGACTTTGATCCCTTTTTAAATATAGACACCACATTGGCCTTACCCCAATCCAGTGGTACTATGCCAGGCATTAAAGAGTCCCTAAAAATCAGAAGCAATGGCTTTGAAATGAAAGAGCTCAATTCTCTAAGGACCTGTGAGTGTATGTCATCCGGTCCAGGTGCTTTATTCACCTTTATTCTGTCTAAATATTTTTGGATCATATAAATTGTGAGCCAATGTGGATCATCTGAGGCTGTGTCAATACCATGCACATTATGGACAAGAGCTCCCCCATGCTTCTTTGTATACACAGAGCTGAATAAGGTATTTAATAAATTTACCTTCTCTTTGTGAATCTGGTTTATACCCTACAGGTATGTGGTCTAACATTATTTGATTTGTTTTACCATAGTTTCATCCATAAGCAGTGGAGGTGCATGTTGAGACTTATATTTGGCACGTCGCTGATATTATGTTGAATGAGAGAGATAGGACTATGGGTATAATTGCACGAAATGCAGTTTGCTGAATAATGCACTCTTTTCCTCACTATATAGGTATCTAACATTTACAGTTAGGAACATACTTTTTACATTAATCCTAATAAAGGTTACAGTTTAACTAACTGGCCATCTGGTGCGTAGGATTGCGCACCCTCGTAAAGTGAGTTGTTATAATTGCCAACTGAGAATGGCTTGTGTATATGATTTAAGGCTTCGTAGTTTAAATCAAGTGTAGGTCTAGTAGCAGGAACTTGGTAGTGTTATGTTTATAGTATTGATATGACAAGAAAATTGTCAAGAGCTGCCTTTATGGTTGGAAGATATCTCAATACATTGTAAATATAAGGATCACGTAATCTTCAAATAGACTGAGTTTATGCTCAGTATTATGGAAAGGAGTGCCAGATATGAATTTATTGGAGTGGATTTTAACTGTAAGGGGCTCCATTATTACTGCACATTTTAATGAAGATAGTGGGCACCCTTGTTTGGTGCCATTAGAGATATCAAAGGGGATTGAGAGGGCTCCTGATGACTCTTGCACAGGGGTTAGAATAGAGGGAAAGTATGGCAGAATGAAACCAGCTGTAAATGCCAAACTTGTGTAAGACTGCCTTGAGGAAGCCCCAATGAACTCGGTCTAACACTTTCTCTGCATCCAAGGAGAGGTGCAGAGAAGGCGTTTTCCGAGTATTGCAATGGTGAACAAGGTTAAACAGGTGTCTGGCTGCATGAGGGGCCTGCCGTCTGGGGATAAGCCCAACTCGGTCAGGGTGGACCAGAGAGGACATCAAGGGCATAAGTCTGCATGCAATGACCTTGGTGAAGAGCTTTATAACTGTATTAAGTAGGGATATAAGTCTGTAGTTGGCAGTAGATAGAGGGTCCTTACCTGGTTTAGGAATGGTAGTAATAGTAGACATTAACATTTCAGAAAGGAAAAAGCCAGAGGACGAGGCAAAATTGAAGAGGGTAACTAGGCTAGAAGCTAGCACCTCATCGATTTGCCTAGTCCTCTGGTGTTGGACATAAACATTTCAAAAAGGATACCGCACATATATGCCTTATACAAAAGAATCAATGTCAGGTGTACCGCTGAGCTCAAAGAACTGCTAGTGACCTTAGGTTATCTGGTGACAGATGGAAGGATTGGCCAGTAGAGGCGAGTTGATCTCTGCAAATTTGAAGGTCGAGTTTTGGAAGGAACAAGTTCAAGAAGGATGGGTGTGTGGTCTGGCCACATAATGTTCCCAATGCTGGTGGACAAAGCATTTTGGAGAGTCCATTTGTCGGTTAGAAATAGATCTATTCGTGAGTAGGAAGCCTGTGAGGGTGAGTAGTAAGTGAAAGTAGACAAGTATAAGGTAGTGACTTTGGGGGTCTGCTATTTCTTGATTGAGGGTAAAAGGAAGAGTGTTGCGTAATGCGATGAAAACTCTGCATTCTTCTTCTCTGCAGATGCCAGGAAAAGTCAATCTAAGTTCTTAAGTTTTAGAAGAAATGTTTTGGAGGAAGAGAAGTGGGTTTCTTACACCATAAGTAAGTCTCCACGTAGATTTTTAGTCTCCTTCATATGTGCCGACCTCTTATATGGTTTGTTTAAGCCTCTGTCATTGAGAGATAATTTTAAAGACATAATTAATGGGTGAAGATGCAAGATTAACTTGAAAATGTTAGGCCGGTAAGAGCTGAAAAAATCACCCAGTGGTGGTTCGAAGGCAGGTGGCAGGCAGTGGAGTGA